ATCAAGGTATCTAAAGATCCTCCAAAGCTGGGGCAAAGTTTGATTAGCTCAAAATAATTTTGATGAGCTCAAAATGATTTTGATAGTTAATAGAATGAGTTTTTAAAAAAAAAGAATGCTTGATTAATGTTTAGAATTGCCTGAATATTCATTGTTTGGATATACCATTCATCCCAATGGCACACATCCAAATTGTTTCTTTTTTTATTTGCTTTTGTACCAGACTCACTCCCTATTGATTGCTTTTTTCTCAATGCACCTTGTGCTCTTTTATTCGTACATCTTAGAATGAATCGAGGAAATGTATGATTGCATTGTCTTTGTCAAGAATTGAAATGATAATGAATGAATGAATATGTGTTTAAGAGGTTATTGCATTCCTTTAAAAGGAAATCCAGAATGATCGAATGCAAAAATGATGAAGAGATGATAGAAACTTGAAAAATGACATATGGGATGGCCAAATGTTGAACATGGTGATGGATTGCTCAATAAGATCTAAAAAGATGATGTGATCTAGAGATGAATATGATGATAAATCGACATAACCTGTGTACTATGATAAAATGATGAGAATCAATGGAAGATATTTATTTTAGGACGGCTAGTGTTAAGAAACCTGATAAAATTTATTCTGAAACAGTTACTACTGAAAAGCCTATGAATAGTGGTTAAATGATGAAAATAATAGAGACCAGTTGATGAAACTCATGAAATGTAAAATGATGGGATCTTGAGAACCATATTACCACATTTTCATGACATTTTTCTGCATTACATGCATTATGTTTACTTCGTCATTTGAACAGTATATGTACATGATTTGGTGAATATTTAAAGTTTTATTTGGACATGCATCAGCTAGCAAATATTGAAATTATGATTTAGGATATGGCATCTACATTATTATGTGAATCCAGATTATTGCACTTGCATCTTTGATCATGACATATAAAATTTTGAGTCACTCGAAAAAAAAATTATGATTTTTTTTATAAGAATCTTGATTTCTTAAATGAGAATCTTTAAAAAATCCTTAAATGAGAATCTTTAATTGTCAAATAAGTATCTTTGAGTATCAAATGAGAATATTTGAATTCAAATTAGGATCTTTGAATTCAAATAAGAATCTTTAAATTTCAAATGAGAAACTGTGAGGTGTGAAACCCAAAATTTATCGAATGTGAATCTTTGAATTCAAATGAGAATCTTTGAATTTCAAATGAGAATCTTTGAGGTGTGAAACTCAAAATTTATTGAATGTGAATCTTCAAATTCAAATGAGAATATTTGAATTCAAATAAGAATATTTGAGTGTCAAATGAGAATCTTTGATGTGTGAAACTCAAAATTTATCGAATGTAAATCTTCAAATTCAAATGAGAATCTTTGAATTTCAAATGAGAATCTTTAAGATGTGAAACCCTAAAGTTTGTTAGGATGTGAATCTTTGAACTAGAATGAGAAGCTTTGAACTTTTCGATGTGAATCTCCAAGTTTAAACGAAAAGCTTTGAACTCAACTTTTGGATGCGAATCTCTAAATTTTTGAGTGAGAACCTTTGAATTTAGATGTGAAACTCTAAGGTTTCTTGAATATGAAATTTTGAACTCGAATAAGAAGCTTTGAACTTTTGGATGTAAATCTCCAAAATTCAAATAAGAATCTTTAAATGTTGGACATGAGTCTTGCAATTTGTAAATTCGAATCTTAAGATCTTGCAAATTTGAATCCTTATGAAACTGAATTTTGAGAATCAAATTTCAGTGAGCTCTTGCGAAGTTAAAAAGTTTTGTAAATCTGAACCTTTAATTTTTGAATTCAAATTATGAATCTTTGAGTATCCATTACAAATTTTATCAGATTTGATCTACGATTCCTCTAGACATGATTATTGAGGAGCAATTTATTTTTTCAAAAATTGTAAGCCTCTGATTAGAGGAGCCTTGTTTATTTTTCTTTTTAAAGTCGTTGAGCCTCTGATTAGAAGAGCTTTGTTTATTTTAGCAAAGTCATTGAGCCTTTAATTAGAGGAGCCTTATTTATTTTTCAAAAGTTGTTGAGCCTCTGATTAGAGGAGCTTTGTTTATTTTTTCAAAGTCGTTGAGCCTCTGTTTAGAGGAGCTTTGTTTACTTGTTCAAAAATAAAAATAAAAAATGAAAAAGATGAATATGTTGGGATGAACATATACAGGGTGTCTATATCTTTGCACAATTCCTGTTGCACAGGAAATGCACAAAGAGGGGCAGTTGTAAATACCCTAATTGGTTCAGATTCAAGCCCATTAGACCTGATTCAATAGGGCCCGAGCTTAAGCCCATTGGGCCTAATTCAATGGGGTCCAAGTGATAGACCCAACTGTTTGTTTTTTATTTTTATTTTTATTTTATTTTATTTTGATTTTATTTTTTATTTTTTGATTATTATTTATTTTATTTTTAGATAATAGGATATTAATAAAAAAAAAAGGAAAAATTGTAAATTCTGTCGTGCATTGGCACTGGCAGAATTGCAATTGGTTTTAATCTCTTCAAGATGATTCTTAGAGTTTTCGATAATGTGAAAATCCAATTGAAAAGGAATTCCTAATTGATCAGAAACTCTATTGAATGTTCTCTATAAATACAACCTATGAGCAAATCACAAAAAAAGGGGAGATCACACAGAGAAGAGAGAAAAACAAAAACCCAAAGATTACACAGCAATAGATTATGGAGGAAAAACATAAAAAAATCATGAAACAAAGAGCAAAAAATAAAAGGCAGAATTCAAAAAAATTCTAAAGGGTGTTAGAAGTAATTTTAGGATTTTTAGGATTTTTTTTATAGAATTTTTGGTGTTCTTTTTTTTGGAAATTTTTTGGAAAATTTCCAGATTTCGACAAAAAATTTTGGCGTCGATTTAATTTTTCGATGAGCTTTTCGATGCCGGTTGAACTTTTCAACAAACTTCTCAGATTCCAGTTAGCTTTCTAGTTTTTGACAACAACTTTCCAAAAACCAACGAACTTTTTGGTGAACTTTCGATGAACAATCCAGATTCTAGCAAGAATTTTCAAAATCCAATTAAATTCAATCGGTGTTCTTGGGTGGATAGAGAGAGAGAGAGAGAGAGAAAAGAATAAGTAGAAAGAGAAGGAGTAGAAGAATTCTGGTGAAATAGGCTGAAACTCAGGCTTTTATAGCCTCCTCAAAATGACATCGTTTTGGCATTTAAAAGAGTCCAGGATCCGTGCGTTTTCACATAGGGCGACCCGAACCAGCAACCCGCATCCTTGCCTGGGCTCTAGCTGAGCCAAGCCGTCAAGTCGCACCTTTGAGTTGGTCTTTGTACCTCAAGCCAAGCCGTTTCAGCCGAGCCGAGCAGCGCCAAAGGTTTTTTTTTTTCTTTTCAATTTTGTTTTATTATTTATTTATTGATTATTTTTTCCTTTATTTATTTAATGACTAAATTTAAATAAGTTATTTATTTAATTAAACATCTTTTAATTTTCAATGATATCTTTAAAATGAAAATTTGAAAAAAATATTTTTGAAGAAAAGTTGAATGTAGCAATTTTCTTTGAACATAAAAATTAAAAAATATATTTTTAAGGAAAAGTTGAAAGTATCAATTTCCCTTGACAATAAAAATTTTCAAAAAATATCTTTAAGGAAAAGTGAAAAGTATCAATTTTCCTTGAAAATAAAAATAAAAAAAAGCATTTTTTGAGAAAAAGTTGGAAGTACCAATTTTCCTTAAAAATAAAATTTGAAGAAAAATATTTTTAAGGAAAAGTTGAAAGTATCAATTTTTCTTATATAAAAGCATGAGTTTTTTTCTTATAAAATAACAAAAAAATTTATATCAAAAGTCAAATCATCATTCCTTTTTCCTTTGGTCTTTTTCTTTTCTTAGATAATTTTTAATGTTAAATAATCCGATGACGGAGCCTATGCAAATAAAACAGTAGTTTTCTTACATATTTTTGAGATGAAGGAATTTTTTTAATTTTCTGTCAAAAGTATTAGAGTCAATTAAGGATAATTTTCAATAATTAATTATTTGGTAATTTTTAAGGCTTATTGGATAACATGAAATTGAGCTGATACCATCCTTCGATGGGCATTGTGAGGGTGCTATAACTTTACTCACATGTAATCATACTCTCGAACCTAGTTCTAGTTTCGTAGATATTGAATTTACCTTTTAAAGTATATCTAAGTCAAACTTAAGATTTTTCTTTAAGAATAGACAAATTCAGTTAGGTGGCCAATCGCACCTAAATAAAAAAGATTGGTGGTAATTCCTTAAGTCAATGTCTAGCGATAGATCCTCAAATCTAGATGTTATGACACCTTTAAGAATGGATGATACTCTACTCATCCATATCTTACCTAGTAATATCCTTACTTAGACATTGATGCTATTGAGATTAAATTTTGTCAATAAACAAGTTCATAATTTAATAATGTATAATTTATTTTGGTAATATTAACATAAAAAATTTATCATAACTGAAATTTTTAAACTTCAGCACATCAGTGTATATAAGATGATAATCGACTATTTTATTTTTATTGCTACTAACAAGGTTATAATAATGGGATCATAGGTTGAATCAATGTAGATTTAATCAGTAATTAATTACTAAGCTAATGTCTTTTTATTATCTTTTGCTTTGAAAATGTTTAATTTTATTTAATCAAATGTAGTTATAATTTGATCGCCCTGATTTTTGGTTTGACTAAAAGGAAATCAAATACTTCCTTGACATATAAAACTTTTAAGAAATGAAAGTTAATCAAATACTTCCTTGAAATCAAATATGTTAAATTGTAATTTTTATATAAAAAACTTTAAAAAATTAAATATTTCCTTAACATATGACTCTTGAACCACAAATTGTAATTTTTATATAAAAATTAATTTTAATTCAAGTTTCCCTAAACTTCTAAACTACACCATTTTAGATATTTTATTAGGTTTTTCACACTCCCTCCAAAACCATGCTAACAATCTCATGTATTGTCATTTTGCCAAACATATCCCTTATTCAAACTCTCCTCTACTCTTCGCAAACCACTGTCGATCGGTAGTAAATTCAGCCATCGTTGATCGACTAAAAGTGCGCGCAGGTTTGTCTTTATCTATTTTATTCTATTATGTTTGGTCTCTTTTCTGTTCTATTTCATTTGGTTTCTTTTCTGTTCTCTATTCTGTTCTATTTTGTTTGGCTGTAATCTGGTCTATAGCAGGGCTGGCTAAGCCATTATCTAATTATGACTAACCCTTGACAGGCCATTCTCCTCTGCTTTCCCACTGTCGACCAGTAGCAAATTCAGCCATCGCTGATCGACTAGAAGCGCGCCCAGGTTTGTCTTTACCTATTCTATTCTATTTTATTTTGTTTGGTCTCTTTTCTATTCTATTTTGTTCTATTCCTTTTGGTCTTTTTTTGTTCTATTCTGTTCTATTCAGTTTGGCTAACCAAATTAAGGAAATCAATATTTATTTTGTGTCTAACCAAATTAATTACACATATAAGCTAGGTTTCTCAAATCTCAACTCCCTGATAGGAAAGTGATAGACCGAAATGTTATAATCACAAGTTTTAGCATCTTCATGAATGCATTATAATAGTAAATTGCATCACATCCATGTTAGTGTTTGATTATTTTCAAATGAGGCTTGAATAATGGAAACCAGGCTATCAAAAGACAGGATAGCTGGAACATAAGGCAACTAGAATTTAGAAAGGAATAAATTGTATTTTTTATTTCATAACAAATTTATAATAGTACATCCAACTTGCAAATAAATTATTATATAATAGTGCATCCAATTTATAATAGTACATCCAATTTGCAAAATATCATAGATTTGGCAGAAGGTAAGAAATTGCCCTTCCACCATTATTTTCAAGACTAGTAAGGCATTATAATGACAGTGTCATGCTGGGCATTCCAATAGGATATATACAATTGGCAACATAAGTAATAACCATGAATTGCATTATGATGCTCCCCAGACCTTGTAATCCTTCCCTTCAAGGACTGAGGACCATTTTTCGGGTCCATTTGGTGGCTTATAATAACCTGGTCCAATCTTCATTGCAACTTTTTCATCGGTGATGGCTGAATGTACATCCCTATCTGCCTTGACAATTTTAACCTACCATATACAATTCAATATATGAAGTCATCAATAGTTTCTTTTTCATAATTTGCTTGTCAATTTTTAACTTGATTAGTGATTTGCCAATAAAAAAACTGCCTAAACTCTTTTTAAAAGGTCAGATGAAGAGCAGTCAGGTAGCATATTTATGGTAGAGATAAATTAGAAAGCAGAAACCAATTCAGATTCATATATTCTCCTTCACTTTGTTCCCGAACAGTTAAAAGCAATCCATATGGGCAAGGTAGATGCACTGGAATCAGTCCAGGCAAAGCTTTCCAATTTTTCACATACCATATATTGGAAATCTACTAAATAATGTTGATACGACACAACATAAACTTCACATGAGCCAAACTACTCAGTTTACATGTCAAATCATTCCTGCTACTTTTGCCATGTATTTTGAAACCATTACTCATTAATAACGTTAAAAAATTATGGTTGTAATGCCATGTCCGAACTCTAATATAAACACAGTTTTTTGATCATCATCCCAAGCTGCTAATATTCTGTAAGTCCCATACGTTCTTGATTATGGACTGAGCATTTTTTGGGGATTCCTATACCTGCTTAGACAATCTGCTGGCAGTGCATGAACCATTTGCATGCTTAAGCATAGAGTTCTTCAGTTAACACTTCCTTATTTGGTTTTGTTTTGGATTGCCTGGGAAAGCTGATTTTAGTGAAAATATTATTTGCTCCTTACTTGTTCTGCCTATGCTGCTTATGCTACCTTTGTTTCTCAATTTTACTTCTAGCTTGTTGTTTGTAATGTTTGATGTTTTGCAACATGTTTATTTGTTGCAGAGATTGTCAAAAAAAGTTTTCTCTTTAGATTGGACCACTTGAAGATTGTCAAAAAAAAAAAAAACAAGTAGGAATTTTAATATAGTTTTGAATTGCATTATTTCTTGTCCCTTTTATGTGCATGTTTAAGGAATATGAATATTTCAATAATGTTTAGGGCACATTATATATATAGTTATAATGATTGAATTATATCATGCTTGTTTAGATTGAATTATTATGAATGTTTCACATGCCCCGTGTCTAGATTTTTGTGTTACCTAATTTCATAAAGTAATTTTGTTTGGTGTTCAAATTCTTTAGGAACATATGATTAACATAGATAAAAGTTGGATGATGGAGTCTAAGTATTCAAACAAGTATGTTGTCGGAGTTTCAACTTTTATGAAATTTGTAGTGCAAATTTGGGAGCTGAATGTAAAATTCATTGTCATTGTCGAGTTTGCTTAAATGTATTTACTAGAAATCAAGATAAGGTAGAAGATCATTTGCTTTTGAAAGGTATATTAGAGAGCTACACCAAGTGGATTTATCATGGTGAGCAATCTGATTTCATAATGCCAACTTTTGGTAAACAATCTACTGGGAGTACTAGTTTTTGCGAAAGAACAATTATTAATGATGAACCTTTGGATATGGTATGAATGATCTGTTAGAAGATGTATTTCTAGAATGGATGCAGATGATCATAGTTTTAATTCTAATATGGGTGAGGAAGACACTGAAAATTTTAGCAAACTTTTAAATAAGGCATAATGTGGACTATTACCAGAATACACCAACATGTCTAGGTTGGAGTTTATTGTAAAATTATTGCACATAAAGGTTTATTGCTAAATGAGCAACAAGGCAATAAATATGATATTGGGACTATTGAATGAGGCTTTTCCTACTAGTACAATTTCTTTATCGTACTATGAGGCAACAAGAACTTTGAGAGACTTACGACTTAATTATGTGTCAATTCATGCATGCAAATATGATTGTGCTCTATTTTGGGGGAAATTTGAAGATAAACAAAGTTGTCCTACTATTGGGACATCAGGGTGAAAGGTGGTTGACAAGCAAATTCTTTGAAAAGTCTTGCATTATTTTCTCATGAAACCAAGACTCCAAAGATTGTTTATATCTAAAAAAATAGCAGAGGATATGTGATGGCATAAGGAGAAATATGTTGATGATGATACATTGAAACATCCAGCAAATGGGGATGCTTGGAAAGCATTTAACAAAGAGAATGACTAGTTCACACATGATGCATGAAATGTTAGACTTGGCTTAGCAATTGATGGATTTAACCCTTTTGGGCTCATGAGCTCTACCTATAGCATGTGGCCTATTGTGGTTATGCTATATAATCTTCCACCTTGGAAGTGATAGGTTACATGGTTGCATGACCAAAGTTCTAAATAAATTTTTGATGAATTACTATCATTAGCTTATGGTCCTGATAGATGTGTTTGAAAGTATACAGGTTGCATTGTTAATGGGGTGAGGTATCACATAAAAAGCATGATTTCCATTTGAAAAGTTAGAATAGTGGTGTGATGGTTGAAGGCAATCATGAAAATGAACAAATTGACTTTTATGGTATTCTTACTGATATAATTTAGTTAGATTACATAAAAGATTGTCAAGTTATTTTGTTTAGGTGTGAGTGGTTTGACCTTGATAGAAAACGAATTCATATAGATGGTCATTTAGTAAGTATCAATGTTAATAAATATTTGTATGAGAATGACTCATTTATTTTATCAATTCAAGCAAAGCAAGTGTTTTACTTGGATGATACCAAATTAGGAAAAGATTGGAGAGTAATGCAAAAGTTTCATCATAGGCACTTGTATGATGTTTCAGAGATGCAGTATGATGAAGTTGGTGAAATGTTTGATATGGAAGAAGACCAAATAGATCAAGAGAATGAAATGTTTGACAGTGATAGGACTATATAAATTGATAAAAATGAAAGACCACTGGATATGGATGATATTGCTCTTGATGTCATTAAGCCTGATTTGATGAAAAAAACAAATGAATTACTTAATGATGTGTCTATGGAAAATCTGATCAAGAAGGTGAAAAAGGGTTTGAAAATTATAGTGAAGAGGAGGAATTTGATTGTGAGGAATATGACAGTGATATAGATCCTATGTTGTAACTATTTATGTTATTTCTTATATTATGATAAATACTTCATTGATATAGTTTTTTTTTCTAACATTAATAGTTGTTTTAATTTTTTTAGTTGTTAGCTATAGAAGCTTCTGGTTTGTTTTTCAATTTAGAAGCTTCTCCTCTTGTTCTGTTTCCAACATTTGCCCTTAATTGTTTTAAGACATTCCTTATGTGTACAATAAATTACAATATAGGGACTGTTTTTATCATAAGTTATAGATAACTCTCAAATATTTTTTAATACCAAAGCTGATTTGGCTTTAAATTTGAAGAAAGGAATAGCTTTAATTGTATGTATAACTTCACAAATTGATTTTACAAGGTAAAAAATTACAACTTTGTCCTCCAAAAGTTCAATTTAAGTTTTTATCTTGATATTTTATATTAATTTAAAGTTAAAGTTACATAATTTTTACTAATTAATAGATACATGACCAATAACAATTTTAACTATATTAATCTTTTTATTGGATTTTTTTACTCAAATACATGTAAAATTAGTTTCTTTTTTTAAGTAGTTTAAGTTAACCAACATGATGGTGCTTAAATTGGGTTTATAATATTAGAGGTATTCACAATTAATCAAGGTTATGTAGGATTCACTTCTTAAGAATAAATTATATCATTTAACTATACAACTCACTTAGTTCTCTATTTCTTCAATTTTTTCCTTGATACTAGAGTGTCTGCATATCATACAACTTGAGCTGAGACTAAGGCAAACTTATCTAAAAATAAGATAGGCATATCTTTGGTTTAAATTCACTAAGTAAATGCAGAAATAAGGTGAGCTAAAATATAAAGATTGTTTTCATACTAGCTAGAGAATAAGAGCATGAATATGGATGTGATTATGGTCTTATTCATTATTATGTAATCTGTAATAGTAAATGAGTTCACATACAAATCTCTTGATTTTAGGTACGATTTTAGCAATGTAATATGAAAGTTTTCATATTTGAAGAGATGTTCCTAGCCTATATTCTTTGGTAGAAGGCAAATATAGTTTTTTTTATCCTTAAGCAATCTTTTAGATTGTTATTCAAGTTTTGTATCTCTTAGGTGAATTTTCTAGAGTGATGAACTTCTATTATTCCTCATCTTCGATTAGAATTCTTAGGATAGTATTTTTGTGTCCCTTAGTTTCTAGTCTTGGTGGTGAACTTTTATCTTTTTTAATCCAATAATCATATTCTACCATTATTCAAATTTTTGTGAGTTTTCTTCTTTATGAGTTTTTCTGTTTATAGTTAATCTCCACATCTCAAACATCAATTTTTGACATCAAATTGGTATTAGAGTTATGGTAGGTCATTGTCATCAAGCACTAGCAGAAAAGGTTGAAACCAACACTGACGTTGTAGCAACTACCAATGTTGACCTAAAAGATGCCCTCATAGAAGAGATGTAATAACAACTCCTTCAATCACAACATCAATTGCATATATAAGAAAAGAGAGAAGAGATAAAGAGACAATAAATGAGGAACAAAGAAGATGAAGAAGAAACCAATCCATACCATGGAAGCAACAACAATTTTGATGACAGTACCTATCTCACCCATGATAAGTCAGATACTATCTACGTAGAAATCAACTTCAACTTAGCATATTCAATTCGAAGATAAAGATTTCTGAGTTTGAGGGAAAGATACAACCTGAAAAATTTTTAGATTGGCTACACATAGTGGAACGCATATTTGAATACCATGATGTCTCTGAACATCATAAAGTAAAGCTAGTGACTATCAAACTTAGAAAGCATACATCCTTTTGGTAGAAAAATTTGAAAAAACAAAAGAAATAGAAGGTAGAAGAAAAAGAGCAACTTAGGAAAAAATGAAAAGAGAGTTAAAAAGAAAGTATCTCCCAGATAACTTTCGATAAGATATCTTCCTTAGGCTTCATAACTTGAAGTAAAAAGATCTTTCAGTGAAAGAATATATGGCTGAGTTTGATTATCTCATGTTAAAATACGAATTAGTGAAACAAGAGGAGCAGATTATTACTCGGTATCTTGGAAAATTAAAGATTGAGATAGCTAATGTGGTGCAGCTACAACCTTATTAGACTTTTAATGATGTATATAAGCTTGCCCTTAAGGTGGAAAGACAACAAAATGAGGCTCGTGGTAGTAACTTGAGATTTGGGTCCAGAGAAGGCTATATCAATAAAGTTGGCTCATCCAAAACTGTTGTTCTTTCTAAGCCTATTCCAAAGCAGCTCCAAAAGAAAGATAGAACCTCAACAAGCAAGCCTCGTCTAGTGCACAGACTAGAAGGTATTTTAAATGTCAAGGGCTTAGACACATTATCTTAGAATGCCCAAATAGAAAGATTATGACTCTAGTAGAGGAAGATTTAAAGAAAAATGAAGAGGAGCTAGTTGAAGAAGATCAAAACCTTGAAAAGGAGAAAAAAGTAATCTATGGCGATTGTGAAGCATCCTTAGTCATACAATACAACTTGAGTACCGCACCTACTAAGAAAAAAGATTGGTTGCGTAAAAACGTGTTTCACACTCAGTGTACTATCCATGAAAAGGTATGCGATATTATAATTGATAGTGTAAGTTTTGAAAATATTGTTTCTACCTTTAGGATGCAGAAATTAGGCCTCAAGGCAGTGGATCACCCTCAACCATAAAAGCTATCTTGGTTGTAGAAAGAGAATGAAATCAAAGTTAGCAAAAGGTGTTTGGTTTTTTTTTTTTCATATAAAAGCAATACAAAGATAAAGTATGATGTAATGTAACTTTAATGGATGCTTGCCATTTACTGCTCAAAAGACCTTGGCATTATAATAAAAGGGTTATTTATGATGGTTACCGTAACATTTACACATTTATGAAAGATGGATGTAAAATCATCATAGGCTCTACCAATCCCATAGTTATGTCAAAACCAACCAAAGAAAAAAAAAACAACTTACTTACCAAGGCCAATTACAAAAAAAAATTAAGATAGATAGTACTATATATGCACTAATGCTGATTGAAGAGAATAAAGATAATGAAGAGCCTCTTGTAGTGATACAACCATTATTGATAAAATTTTAAGATGTTATTCAGGAAGAGTTACCACCTAGTCTATTACCAATTAAGGACATTCAACACTGCATAGACCTTATCCTAAGAGCTATTCTACCTAACAAGGTAAATTTTCTTGAGAAGTTATGCAAAAAAGAAACTAAAACAATGAGAACTTGTTTTACTATAAATAGAGTTTACTTACAACCATTCACCAAGTCAAACCATTGGTTGCAGCCCTTTTGAAATTGTTCTTTGTAAGAATGCAATCTATCCTTTGGATTTAATTCAACTTTATACTAACCAGCATTTTGATGGAGATATAGAAGGAGCCAAGAATATCAAAATATTTCATGAACAAGTTCAGAATAGAATTTTACAAATAAATGAAAAATATAAAAAGACAATAATCATGCATCAAAGACATGTGAAGTTCAAAAAGCATGATTTGGTGTGAGATTACTTGCACAAAGAAAAGTTTTCACAAGGGAAGTTTGATAAATTACAATCTAAGACAGATGATCCATTTCGAGTTTTTCAACGTATTGGGGAGAATGTTTACAAGATAGAGCTTTCTGACGCTTATGAAATATTTTTCACCTTAAATATTGCTGATTTGTTACCCTATCATAGTGAGAATATTAGTTCAGACTTGAAGACAAGTCTTTTCTAAGCAGAGAAAATTAACACCGGAGTGTCTGCACATCATACAACTTATGCTAAGACTAAGGCAAATTTATCCAAAAATAAGATGAGCCTATTCTTGGTCCAAATCCACTAAGTAAATACAAAAATAAGGTGAGTTGGAATAGGGAGATTGTGTTCACACTAGTTAGAAAAAAAGAGCATGAATATGTATGAGATTATGGTCATATTCATTATTATGTAATTTGCATGAGTAAATGAGTTTTTATACGAATCTCTTGATTTTAGAGACAATTCTAGCAATGCAATCTAAAAGTTTTCATATTTGGAGATATGTTTTTAGCCTTTTTATTTTTTATTATTCTTCGATAGAAGGCATAATAGAATTTTCTTTATCCTTAAACAATATTTTAGATTTTTCTTCAAGTTTTATATCTCTTAGGTGAATTTCTTAGAGTGTTGAAGTTCTATTGTTTTATATTCTCGATTAGAATTCTTAGGGTGGTGTTTCTATATTCCTTAGTTTCTAGTTTTAGTAGTGAATTTTTATCTCTTTTAATTCAATAATCTTATTCTGTTATTATTTAAATTTTTGTTAATTATCTTCTTTATAAGTTTTTTTATTTGCAGTTAATTTTTACATCTCAAATATCAATTTTCGACATAACTTTTAAGCTTTGATCTCTCTTTATACCAAAAAAGAAAAAAAGTTATTTGGGGGTCGACATA